CACTGCAGGGGGGTTGGACTAGATGGCCTTGAAAGGTCCCTTCCCACCCAAACTATTCTGTGATTCTATGATTAATTGCCCTGAAAAAGACAGACTCACTCTTAAAATAGGTGTCACTTAGAATTATAAAAAGATATGATAAACGTTACACCTGATCTTTTTATGTTGCAGCCATTTAAAGCGTCCTACCTCTCACTTGGAATGCTAGAGCCGTTTTGGTTAAATAAGACAACCATTGAATTGTGAGGTTATGGTGATGCTGAGACACGTACACCACCCAAGCTAGAATGGAAGTTTTTGGCTGCAGGAAGTGACAGGTCTCCTGTTCATGCACCTGGTCATCAGCAGTCCTTGGATTTCAAATGCAGCTGGTAAAGTTTCTGATTTTTTAAAAATCTTGCTACTTCTTTTGCTATGTTGTCTTGCACTATCATCTTGTTAAGTTCTTGTCTGGTCTTCCACATAAGTCTCAAGTAACCAGCCTGAGCAGCATGACTGTACCAAATAATTCTTTTGCAGGAATGATCTGTCCAGTGAAACACTGCATAGTCTAAAACAGTTTTGGTATTTATTTGGTTACACTGGCTAACTCCCCAGATAATCAGGTGGTGTTTCAGGAAAGTGGTTTTCTGAAGTAACAGTCTCACTATATCAAGTTATCATTGACTTTCAATATAATTTGAATTTAGCTTAAGATCAGCAATTTCCTAATTCACCTTAATTTTTTTGAGTGCCAGAGTACAATAAACAAAAACCCAATATAATTCTAAGGAGAAACCAAAACCAATCTTTGCTTTTACAAGCTCATTTCATTTCACCAAAAGAATGAATTCCAGACTTACAGGACTGACTTAAAATAGTAGTAAAATAGTGACCAGAGCACAATTTCAGGCTGAAAGTAGAGTTTTTCAGATTGTGACTGTATACTAGCAATGGTGTTCTCTCTCAAACATGACTTAGGTGATAGATGCCTAAATGAACACTTTTTTTTTAACTTGTATCCCCTATTTGAACTATTGCACGTAGCCCTGAAAGCTGCTCTACTTTTTCCAACTGGACTATATGGTCTGGTACAAGTGTTACTCCACCTGGATTAAAGAAGCTGGGACTCTTCAATCTGTAGAGATGCAAGCTGGGGCACAGCTATTCTTTGTTTTTGAAATCATGAAGCAATACAGTAAAGTTAATGTTATTAAACAAAAACTGCAATATTAGCACTGGAGAACACGTGCTGGAAGTGGTAATAAAAACTGAGATGACTGTCTATGGGCCTGAGGTTTCAATAGACATCCCTCTGTAACATGAAATTGAATATCATGTCACAGTGACCTTTTTTGACCATTCCCAGCACACATGGCCACTCTGTGACATCTCAGCATTCATTTTGAGACCAAGTGTCTCATCTTCTGGCATTAATGTTCTCAATCCCTCTTTTTGAACAGTTACATTTTCATTGTTATCATCTCTAAATGTCTGCTGCTGATCAAAGTTCATTAACCAAAAAAAAAAAAAAAAGGTAATGACAACAACTGACAGAGCAGGTTATTAAATTATCATCCACAACAGTTTGAAATAAGACGCATGACCAAACAGGCTGCTATTGTGCACTAATAATACATTACAGGTTAGAGCACTTAATATGAGTGTCAGATTTGCATGCCAACCTATTCAAAATCCTTTGCATGCAGCAATGTACACGTAGGACTGTCAGCTGGTTTATATACTAGACACACACTTTAAAGCAAATTTTCAGTGAAAATGATACTGTATAGAACCATTCTCTTCACAATTTTATACTTTTCAATGTTTAGTGTACTCAGTATTACAAATAAAAATCGAATACAAACCAAGCCTTTTATTAAAAAAAATATTTTAAAGCATTTCTGAAACTTCAAAATGTTGCACCAAATTTTCCATCACATTTGCATTTCTGAAATGACTTTGTTTTTTTTAAGTTCCTGCCACAGTCCTAGATCAGTCATTCCCCTCTGCTTTGCTATCTAACTTTTCCTAAATGCTATCCGCTTTGCTACATTTTCAGCTCCAAATTTTGCTATCAATTTATTTCTGACACGTTCATCATCTTTTTGCAATTCCAAATCATCCTCTCTGCTCCATACAGGGTACCCATCCAGGCGCTGCCCCGTCTGCAGAAAGTATAAAGTAGTCTCCACTTCACCAGTGTTTTTCAGAAAGGCCTGCGTAACAGTGAACAGGTCCATGCCAAACTTCTCCATGAAGTGCTGCATAGTTTTTACTACTTCTCCCACCTCACTGGAAGAAGAGCAAGTGCTTGTTGGTCTTTCTTCCCTTTGTAATTGAGTGTCAGGGAGACCAGAGTCCTCCGGTCCAGTTTTCAAACCAGATGCTGTTTCTCCTGGGGACCTTCCCTCTCCACCTTGTGTAGAAAGTTCTTCTGAAATGTCTGAAGTGTCACTTCCTGACTAAAAGTAAGAAAGAGAAGTGCAGTCATCAATTAGACATTGTATTTTCTGGCAAGCTGCTTCCATCACCTCTACCCAACCACCTTACACTGTGACTCTACAGTATATGAAAAATTATATACTCAGAAATTACTAGGCATAGTAAAATTCAGTGACTGAAGAGAAGCCATACGTGTTAACAAGGATATACAAGATCACAGAATAGCTTGAAATATAAGGGAGAATTCAAACAAACTATAAAAGGCAAAAGTAAATGTTAATGCAACTGCAGGAACGTTTTATGGCTGAGGTGAAAGGATGACTTCCATTTGCCAATACAGCTTTTAATGCGAGAACACTGTCACATTAATTTCCTCAAATTAACCTGGGCAGGGAATCAAACGAAATAAAAATATGCCACAGCGAGGAACCATTCATCACGAGCCATGCAGTTCACAGCTCATGTAAAGCTCCCACTTAGCCGTAGCAGAAGGGATGTCACTGCGCAAAGCCATTTAAGAAGTTAATTGTGAGTTGTTACTGTCCCGTTCTGTGACAGCCAGGAAGGCCTACTCGGAGCAGCTCGCTCCCAGCGGCGCTGCGGCGTGCCGAGGCAGCTGCAGCAGCAACGCGACTCCCTTGCTGGTCTGGCCGCTTACCTCCGTGCTTTCAAACTCCCGATTAGCTGCCTCGAAAAGACCCGTGCTTTGTGCGGTCTCCTCCGTCTGCTGAGGCTCTGCGGGAACACGCGGGCATCGAACTGCCGGGCCGCACCAGGGCCACGGTCGCCCTCGCCCATCAGCCCCCCCTCACCCCGGCCGCGCCCC